TCTTGACATGCTAGCACCCACCTCGGTGGACTGCAGCAAGTCACAGGGTTTCTAGTAATAGAATACTGAGTCATAGTGTTTTTTCCCTTTCATAAATGTACAGACCCGCAATTAAATTTATGTTAATCAGCCTGTATCCATGAATAAATAAAAACTCAATGGCAAGACTTCGCCGGTTAAAAAAAAAAAAAATATGCAGTTGTTCTTAAAAAAACAGAAATAATCATAATTCAAGAAGAAATGAATTATTATCTCAAGAACTTTATTTTGTTTAGTCTAAACTAGTTTAGTGGACTCTTCACAATAAAAATAAAGTAATTATAACTGCATGTTTAAAATTCTTTTAACAATTGCTAGATGTAATTGGATAAGTTGATCATTACTGCACTAGAAAAGTTCTTGTGCAATGTGTGTACGTGTTCTCTTAGCATTTTTATTTTCTTCCTTAATTCTACATAAAATTTTCAAACTCCACAAGCGCAAACATGGGTCATAAAACTAGTAAAATAACCTCCCGGGATCGTGTCATTCTCGATTTGAAACTTCAAAGAGACAAATTAAAACAATATCAAAAGAAGGTACCATCACATTAATTCTCGACTGACCAAATTGAAGTCTAATCGTGTTCTTTAAAATAAGATACAAATCGTTTCCGATAAAGAAACTGAAATCGCTAAGGAGGCGTTACGTAAAAATAATAAACGTGGAGCCTTGCTAGCGCTAAAAAAGAAGAAATATCAACAACAATTGTTAGAAAAAACCGATGCGCAACTAATGAATCTAGAAGAACTTGTCAGTAATTTTTGCATAATTAAGCTACAATCCAAACATAAATTTGTTATTAACAATAATTATACAATTAAGACTCAAACAATAGAGTTCGCATTGATAGAAAAAGAAGTTTTAAATGGACTGAAAGCTGGAAATAATATTCTAAAGGAAATTCAGAAAGAGATGTCAATCGAAGATGTGGAAAAGTTAATGGAAGATACTGCGGATGCTATTTCTTATCAGAATGTAAAAAAAATTAGATTTATAATATATATAACGATGTTAGTGAAGTTAACATACGCTATTTTGGATGAAAATAGGAAATCGAAGAATTGCTAAGTGGAAAGATAACTAATGAAGATGAGGAATTAATAAAGAAAGAATTAGAAGAAATAGAAAAAGAACAAGTGCGTAATTTGTTAGAAAATCATGATTTGTGAAAGACATCAAACTAACCTGCTCGATCCCAAATCAGCTCGAGGAACAACTTCCATCGGTTCCGAAAACGTTATTACCTGTTAAGCAGGAAATTGAAGAAGGCAAATTTTCATCTATTGTAATAATAATAATATTTTGGTTAACATACTAACATCTCATCAATTATAGATTACGATGAACCATCAATACCAATTCATTCGAAAAAGACCAAGCTTGGTAAACAATTGGAGGCTGCTTGATTTTCCTTTGGTGACTGGATTATATTTATTTCTGCTTTACCGTAATGTTGCAAAAACTGGTTAATATAAAATTCTGCTTAATTTATTTATAAAATATTATATATTATTTTTAAAAGGAATAAATTAAACTACGATAGTCATTAATAACAAAGAATAATTAAAAATTTTTTGATTCAAAAAAAATTTTTTTAAAAAAAGGATTGATTTGTTACTAAATAAAAATTGAATATCGCGTGTCTTTGTCTGTCCTATCTACAGCAAATGGATGAAATCATTATATAATAAACCAAATTAACAGTTTCTTTATATGTAAAATTGTTTAATTACTGTTTTTAAAAATGTATTATGTAACAAAAAAAATAATATTTAAAATATTAAATTTAATTAAAATACTTTTTGACAAGTTAGTATGTAGCATGTTTATTACTATATATAAGTTAATTAATATAAATTTTCTTCTAAGTACAGTTCAGGAAAAAATTATTTGCCCTTTATTTTTATTTTTTATTTTTAAGTTCTTTGTCAGGCTAGGCATGTTTGCTTTATCAAATATTTTGTATACTTTACATTGAAAAATGTGTTGTCAAAGCTAAATTTCTATCTAACTCACTCATTAATATTTTTAAATTTATCAAAACTCTAAGTGCAACTTCAGGAATGATTTATTGCTCCATTAGTAATTCAGATAAAAACCCTTTCAACTACTAATTTCATTGCTTGTATATTATTATGGCAGATCATTCTATGATATTCTGATAGAGCCTAAAACTTAACTACTTTATTTTATTTTATATTCTTTTTGTTAGAATTTCATGGAGGCTTTTATCTTCTTCTAGGTTTCCTTCTTCTAATAATAATTCTCTTTTCTTGGAAAGTATAGTTTTTTTATCTATAAAACTTGAAGATCTTTTTGTGTCATGTTTACTTTACTGATTCCCTGTAACTATTCCTATTTAATTATTTTTTTATATTTCTTGTTCAAATTTTTTTTCAAACTTGATTGCAAATTCTTTTTTGTATATTTAATATTTACCTTTTTACTTTTTTTCCTATACTTTTCCATGTTATTTTAGTTCTGTCATTTCTAAAATAAGATTATTTTTTATTAGATCAGTGCAAAAACTTAAAGTATTTTGACTAGTTTTAAAAGTCTGTTGAAGAAGCTCTTTAAAGTTTCTAATAATTTTATCTACTCTTTTGTTCTATACTACTTGTAGTTGATCTTTATAAGCCAAATATTCTAGTAAGTGTTTTATAGTTTCTTCTCATTAACTACATATAATATATTTCACTTGCTTATATAAACCAGATCTTCTTATAGTCAATTTACTTAATATTGATAGCTTATTATTGATTAGTTTAATGAGAAAGCTTTTTTGTTAAAATTTCTTGAAATACATATACTATATGTATCTATTTTTAATTATTTTTCACATCAAATTTCATGTATAAAATTGATATTCTGAAATTTGATGACTTTATTTTTTCTTTGTTCTATTTTATTGTATCCATAGATAGATTGTTGTTATTTTGTTATTAATATTTTTAATAATCCATCTAAATGAATTATTTAAAATCTTATCTTGCCACTTGATTTCTATAATAATCTTATGTGAAAGAAGATCTTTTTATTTGATTAATAGGAGTTTTAGAGCTTCTTTAGCAAAAGCATCTATTTTTTTATTATAAGAATTATTGAAATATACCTTAACTTTGATAAGTTTTAGTTCTATATTTTTCTTTTATCATTTATATCCAAAGAGATTAATTTTTTTTCTTTAGCTATCTTTTATATATTCTCCTTAAGTTCTCTTTATTATTGTTTTTTATTTGAAAATATAGACTTGATTGTCTATACAAATCTCAATTGTGTTATCAATAGGAAATATCAAGAGTATCATTACAATTGCTATTAATTCAGATCTTATAAAAAAGGATCAATTATTTACTCCTATTTGAAACTTGCTTTTTCTTTCTATTTTTTTTTATCCAAATTCAAGCAGCTCCCATTTTCAATTTTTTTTTCCTTATAATTAATCAGTAATCTATTAAAATAGAGGATTAATTTTTTTTTGGATTCAGGATTGCTTTGAAATATTTTTTTAAATGGTCTTAATATACTTATTCTTTAATATTTTTTCTAATAATAGTTTCTTTTTAGGTTTAAATATCTATATAATTTATTTTGTCATTTTGAATTATAAAAAGGCTTTGGTTATTGTAAATCACATTCTAAATCATTTTTTCCAATACTATTTTGGGATTGGTGATTTTTGTTCTTGTGGTTTTCTAATAAATTTTTTTATATTAAGATATGATACTAAATATATCTTTTTTATATCTCTTTCTAAGATACAATTGCTATTTTGTATTATACTATTTAAATATTCAAGACATTTTTACAAGCTAGTTTCTTGATTATTATTAGTACTACAATAAATAAAATATTTCACTATTATTTTATGTTCCTCTTTTTTTGTCTTAACTTTTCTTAAGTTATTTGATTACTTTTCTTTCTATCACTATCCATGATTTTTGTCCCTTATTATGATTAGATCTTATTTTAATATGCAGTATTTTGATTTTCATTTTATATAGTTCTTCTTTCAAGATCTTATAAGCTACTCTAACTATTTATTTGAAAGATTTTTAGTTATAGTTTAAAACTATTCTGGAATATATTCTTTACTTGTATTTTATAAAAGCTAAAGTATTTACCAATCTTTTATTTTCTTAAATTTTTGATCAATTATCTAATTCAAATACATTAGTCTATTATTTTTAAATAATAAAATAACTCTTTTATATTCTTTTAGTATAAGGTGTTCACTGATTAGACTATTTCCCTTATTCCATTCAAATATGTTTTGCCATTTCCAATTTGAAAGATTATTCATATATATTTTATCAATTTAATCACCTAAAGTATAAAGTTATCTTTATTTAATAAGTGATTTAATAACTTGTAAATCAATAAATTAAGTGACTTCCAATTTTTTATTTATACTTGTTTAAGTTTGATAATTGTTATAGTCCTATTGCATAGTTCTGTTACTTGACTTTCTCATTGTAATATCCAAATACTTTTCAAGTTGTGGATTTTTGAATGATAAATTATATTATTGGATATAGATCTATATAAAACATTCTTGTTCTTGAATAGTTTTTTGTATATTGTTATTAAGGTATTACATATTTTTTGGGACAATATGCTATATTGCATTCTAAATTCTATTTTGGGTATTAATACTTTATTTAAAATATAAAGAGCTTGTTTATCTATTAATTTTTTTATTTTTAAGAACTCTAATTACTATATTAACTTCTTTAAGCACTTGTTCTTTAAGCTTAATCATAGTTTTTTAATTGTCTATTCAGATTGTTAGGAATCTGATTTGTTTCATTTTATCAATTTCTTTAATCACCTTTTCTTCAATACCTACTTAAACTTTTTTTAAATGGCAATAGGATTAATGATGATTACCAAGACTAATTTGTTGCTATTAATTTGATAATCATTAACTTTACAGAAGATTTTTGCAATCTTTAAGATCTTTTTTATATTCTCTTTAGATCTAGCTATTCATGTTATATTATTCATAAAAGTTATAGTTGCATGTCTTGATTCTAACTTTTTTATGGCATATTTCTTTAGATCAAGATTTTAGATAGCTGATATTGTATACCCTCTTTGTATATCATTCTGTATTTGTAAAGAAAAAGATTATAGAAAATTCTTTATTGTAGAGGGGAGATAGTTTTTCCTTGATCAATTCCATTATCTGTTACTATTGATTTTATAAGATTATTTTCAAATATAATTAGAAATTCTCTATTCTGAAACAAACTTATTATGATTTTTATAAAACCTTCTAGAGCTTTAATTCTTTTTTAGCATTTCTAAACTAATAATATCATATACTTTTGCAATATTTTGAAAAGTATCTACAGTTTTTTTTTGTTTTTTCTAATATATTTATAGATATTATTAAGAATCTGAATTAATTCTATTATGCTTTTTTCTGATAGCTCTATATAATTAGATCCTTTGAGAATATTGTTGATTTATAGAATGTTTTTTATTCTATTGATAAGTACTTTGATAAAATACTTTCTTATAATTTCTAATAGGTTAATAGGCCTAATGTTTAAAAATTTGCAACTCCAAGGTTTAGGTTTAGCTATAGGATATATATAGTTTTGTTTCTAATATTTCAGAGTAACTTCCCATCTTAAAAAGTTATTTAATATTCTTTTCAAAAATTCTTTTCCTTCCTGGCTTATCCATTTTAGTATCTTATAACTAATCTATAATCTTTCTTGAGCTTTATTATTTGAAAGTGTATTCAATGTTTTACTTAGTTCTTCTTGTAGATTGATTTAAGTAATTCATTATATCAAGCTTCTTGGATACAGTTGCTTCCAAAAGTTTGAGTCCACTTACTATGTTTTTATTATAAATTTCAACCTTGACAATTTTTAAATCC